TAGTATAATCATTCAAAGTTACTGTTCTGGTGGAAAAAATTGTTTGAGGAAGTTCATAAGCTCTTTTTTTTACTCCAGTCTACCACATTTTTCATCAAAATGACTACTTGATTTATGTAAGCAATCAAACATCCTTTAATTTTTTAAAGATGCTCTGACAGCCGAAGAATCTCTTAATATTTAATGTGATATCTCAGGCTTTGGCTTCATCACATTTGACAACGACGAAGTGTCCGACAAAGTCTGTGAGATTCATTTTCATGAAATCAACGGAAAAATGGTTGAATGCAAAAAGGCGCAGCCAAAAGAGGTGAGCGATCGATCAAAAGCAATCTAGCTTTGCAGCAAATGTTCTCGCTAACCTGGGTTTATGACACTTTAATTCATAACCATTTTTAGGTGATGCTTCCTGTGCAGTTGAATAAATCACGTGCTGCTGCTGCTCGGAATCTGTATGGACTACCACCGGAACAATTGCTTGGTGAGTTTATTGAAGGTTTATTTTCCCATTGCTTCAGCAATAACTATGTATCTTTTCCAGCATACGCTACTTATCTACCTCGATTTGGGTACGGTAATCTGCTCTATCCCAATATGACGTCGAGTAAGTTTTCCTAGATTTTTTCTCATTTACATTCGGGTTTTCCTGTAAATTCACCCGAGAATTAGCGCAAAGCTTAGCTAATGATTGTTCAATAAACTGTGCTTATCGTATCACGCAAATAGTTAATTTGAACACGCAGTGAGGGAAAGGAAAAAATCAGAAGTTCGTTTCTTTGTGGCCTAATAAAACCTGTATGTTTGATGGATATGTTGTCCACAGTTACTCTAAAAAATTTTCTTACTGATTATTATTTGGTAATCGTTCTTCTTAACTCAAAATTTAGCCTCTGCAGAGGTTCTCAGCTATTTTTCATGTTTTGCTTATATGAAAGGACCTTATAGGAAAGTTACTGTCATCTCAGCCTCTTTTTCCCAATTTTCAACCGCCATCATAGGACCAAAAATGGACTTGAATCAGCTGACTTGTATCTTGAATCCTACACTTTCTTTTTACAAAAATGATAGAACCTAATATTTCTGGGTATCGCGCATTTGATACATGCGCTATCATCTAACAAATGGTCTACATAACTTTTCCTATATTAGAAATCTTTTCGTGCTTTCGGGTCTTGAGTTCCTGCGGCGGTGATGCACTTTCATTATAGTACTACCCCTTTTTAAACTGTCTGTTTGCTTATTAGTTCCCTTGTGCCGCTTTCGGCAGTAAAAGGCTCGCATTCCAGGCAGACCTATGATGTTCAAGTGCGCTCCACCGCTGGAGCTGGCAGGTCAACAGAATGTGTGGTTTACATATGTAGAAATGTGATGGTGCAGTAAGGCACAGCCCTTATTAGAGGGGCCAAAAAGTGCGCGAGGCGATAGGCCTGCTAAGTGATGGTAGCATGATAGCAGCATG